ATGATTATTAGCACCTGTGAGTTCCCCCCCTTCAACACACACACACACACACACACACACACACACACACACACACACACACACACACACACACGCTCTAATACTAGCAGACAATATGTTTTCATGCACAATCAGCACATATTTTTCAGAAAATAGCCCTACTTTTGGCATAATATTGGAACAAAAAACGTTTTTATGATGGATTAGTCAGACATTCGGAGATTTGATATTGATATTTCAGCCAAGTCTTTGCAACACAACCATTAATAAAAATGCTGAGAGCTGTAATGTTGTGGCCTGGCAATACACTGGTTTTGAGAATGCTCACTATATTTGGTGCTATTTGTTTTTATATCAGCCATTAAGTAAATAATATACACCAGTTTCATTAGCTGGCTTGTCCAACACAATGGCTGACTTTGATGCTCAGGACATAAATACTATTCTTCTTTTTATTTTGACAAGCTCTCACAGTCAGAGGTACTGGCAGCATGCTTCTCTTTTGGCTAAACATGCTCAAAATCCAGTCCATTTGTCAAACCAGCATTCCATCACTTCACCAACATCGCTAATGACTCCAGGTTGTTCTGTTGGCAAACTAAAGAATGAAAAAACAAACCATCCATTTCACCCACATCACTCGATGCCTGAAGCTGTTTTTACAGTTTATTGTGCATTTATAAATGGTTTTTGAAACAAGTTGGGCATGATTAACCACTTACAGTTAGTCATCAGTGTTCCATGTTTACAGTAGACCTCATGAAAAAACATATATAATACAATATCATTTCAGTTTTGCATTTCTAATAATATGATTCAAATACGCATTCACTTTGCGGTGTAAGGTTTTTCTGCTTGCCAAACCTAAAATGAGCTCAGAAAGTATGATGTAATAAGTATTAAATAGCCAGTATTTGTAGCCCATCTACATCATTAATATTCTAAGGGGTGTGAGACACCATGCCTACATAAACTATAAAAATATATGCTCCTGAGAATGAGTAGTTTGATGCGTTAGTATTTACTTCATGTACTTGAATTGAACAAACAATTCACATTGTGGCTTAACTTTAAAAATGGAATATCATTTATCTTTTGATACTCTAGTAAAGATGCTCAGTGGTACTTTTATATACTTTGGCTCCACAGAAGCTTCCCTAATTCTGTTCTTGGCTGCACCAGCCAAAGTAAAAGAAACCAGTAGTCTTGTTTATTGGCTTCTATCTGTCAGTCAGCTGGGAAGCAGATACTATCTGTGGCACTGATGAGTACACAAATGTGGAGTGAATTATCCGTATATGAAGCTAAAAAGACCTAAGAATGATTTGAATACATTTCGGAAATTACATTTGCTTTTTATGGTTCTACAAATGAAATAGGCCTCTTTGCTTAATGTTCATTTGCCCTATACCAACTTTAATTTTCCCATCCCTCCTTCCTATATTCAACCCCCGCTCATCCTCAGAACAGTAGCAGAGATAAGGGGCTCACACAGTCTAGTAAGTGAACGGGAGTTCACAGGGGGTCACGCTGTCAAACACAAGAGACTGATGGAGGGTCCTAATCCTGCCAGTGTCATGAAGATGGATCAAATGAAAACACTCACACGGTCACACAAGCATACATATTGGGAATCTTGAAAACATGCACATTCAACTGTTTGTTTTACAAACTTTTTTTTCTACTAACTTACGCACATATATACCATCTCTTATTTAGTTTTTTTCTATCTTATAAACTGACTTTCTCTTACATGCGGGCACACACACACACACACACACACACACACACACACACACACACACACACACACACACACACACACACACACACACAGTTCTAGACTGACAGAAACAGGTTGTCGGCAGGGTGAGGGGAGATGTGACTCATGTCCAGCTCATTTATCCGCAATCCGTGGTGTGTATGACTGACTGAGAGTTCACATACTGCTGAGTTTCTCACACAAACACTCTTGCAGATTTACAAGCTAAAAGGATAGCATATACATGTTCACATGCACACATACATTACTACTTGTGTAGCAACATATTGAAAAAAACATGTTATATACCTAGAAAATACAGTTAAGCAGTGCTTGTTGAAGCATAAGGGTGCTATTCTATAGTGTTCTAATTGCCAACAAATCCAACATTGTTGAGTCCGTCTCCATTCTATTGATTTCTCTACCCTGCTTGTTGCACTCACCCAGATCCCCATTTGGTACTATTTGTAACAGTTCTTTATAACCTGGTCTCAAATAGTTTCATTATTATAACATGATTAGGCAGTAAGCTAGGCATCAGTTCTGAGTAAATGATACTTAAACTGGAGTAAACAGTGTATTTGCCAGTGACTATTTACAGCAGCAGAAAGGTGTATTTGGGAATGTGTGTGTTGATGCCAATGGGTCATTCATGTCTTTTTAATAGATATTTGACAACAATGGAGCTCTATGGAGTGGGGGTACAAGGCAGAGTACAGAGAATATAGAAAGAAGATCTTTGAGCTATTGTTGCCGGCAACAGTGGTTTACCATTCAGCCCTACAACTAGTCTCTATAGGGGCGTTCACACCAAGTTCTTTCCCCACAATAGTTCATGAGAACTCTTTTAGTTCTGATGAACTAAAGCAGATCGCGTTCACACCGCAATGATTCCCTGGGGGTGGATTAGGCAAATGAAGCCGCTGACGTCACTTCTTCTTCTGCTTTGGGTTTACTGGCAGGCCGCAAACAACTTCACGGCGTATACTGCCACCCGAAGTGCCCGGCCAGAAGTCCCCGGAGTTGGTAAATCGCCAGAACGCCGACACCTCCTCATCTCCAACGCTCCACCGCTCCCATGTGTTGCCATAAGTTAGTCTCTCTGCATTTCTGCGCTGGGCTAATGCTAATAATGCGAGGATAATAAAATGGCGGCTTCACAAAACATTTTGGAGTTTTACGGGGCGTGGTTTGCATTCCGCCCAGCCGATCAGACATAGGAACCTTTTTCTCCCACGAAAGTCCCTGCTCTCTAGCAGGGACTGGAGAGAGGGTAAAAATTGTTCTGATGAACTAATTTAGTTCAGGGGGCTTTTTGGTGTGAACGCAAATATATCTGAGTTCTGATGAACTATTGTGGGAAAAGTACTCCGGTGTGAACGCACCAATGTCACTATTCCTCAAGAACCAATATATTTATTTTGCTGTGTCCTAAACCTTGAATAATCTCCATAAAGTTGTTAGGCCCTTTCTTTAATGCACATAAGACCCATTAACACCCATTATCTCTTTCAGTGAGACACATTCAATAACACACTCTCACTGATGTATATTTTCACTGCACAAACACATGAACACACTCTAATTTATACTGACACACAGATGGCCCCTGCTCTGACCACAAATGCAGTGTAACCTCTGCTCCCTGCGGTGCGGCCAGAGCTCAGACTGCCAGTAAAAGCGAGGAGATGCTTCATGGCTCAACAATTCGCTGGGTAAATGGAAAGGGTTTGGTGTGCGACCTCAAACACTCTGCTCTCTGACTCTCTTTCTCTATTTTACTTTTGTCTATTTTCTTTCACTTTGTCCACTTCTAGTTTTTAAAGGCTTCACTTGATCTGAATCTTCTCCTGTCATCTCTTCTTTCTTTATTTTATTCACATTCAGTCAGTTTATTATATATTTTGTATCAGAGTATTCTTCCTTCTCTGTTTCTTCAAGGTTAGTGGAAACATAATGCAGTGTGCGAAAAAGAGTGTCAAATTATTTCGTAGCATCCAGAGAGCAATACTGTATTGATATACTACTTTTTTGCCAATTTTTTTCCTTTCTGGCTAAGAAAGTCATCAGCAGAAGATTAAAACAAGTTCCCCTTTTGTCTAAGGTTCACTCTCTCAGTTTTTCCCTCTTTCTTCTCTAATAGCCTCTATCTCTAAATCTTGCCGTCTCATTTTCTGTCTTCTATCGATGGAAGTCCGATCCATCACCCCTTCTGTCTGAGGTCAGGAGGAAAGTGAGGACACGCAAGGAAAACTAACCTCAGCTAACAAATATGAGCAGTATGAAGAAAAACTGCATTTCTGTAAAGTGTGGTTCGGTGGGTTTAATGGGTAACGGATACGCTAAAATTGATTCCAAATTTTGGTTTAGCCAAAAAGGTTTTAATGGTATTAGAGACATTACGTCATGGGGAAGTGGCTTTTTTTTTCTGAACAGATAAAAAATAAGTAATCAGAAATTGAATAATCATATTTCAGTCTATCCAGATGCGGTTAATCTACATGCAGTCGTAGACGCACACAATTGCCGCTGCAGCTTAATTTCTCAGACGTAATAAGAAGGAAGGGCTCCACACAAACCATACAAAAAAATGATAGCACAATCCCTCAGGCATAGTGTTTGCTTAGAGAAAATACTAGCTTGTGTTTTTGAAATATGGCTCTGAAATGTCATTGTGTTTCACTAAAGTGAAAAAAACCTCAAGAGGTGTGAGAGTCTGTATAGCCAATATCAAATCCAGTCCCTCTATCAGTTAAAGAAAGTACATCCAGGTGGATTTGGGTGTGTAGCATTAACGTGCACACAAGCATACACACAGTCATAAAAACAGGGAAGGAAAAAGAAGACTTTTCAGATTGGAAAAGACAGGCAGGGATCAGGGGTGTAGAGGGAAAGGGTTAGGGTTAACTTTCCTCTAAAAGGTGTCAAAAAAGGAACTAAATTGGGTGTCAGAAAGCGCTAAGGAGCTGAAATAAGTCAGGGTCCCCAACTCATGTGGGTGGGTGCTCGCTTTATATATTTACAGACAATGTCCCTTTAAAAAGCCCCACGTCTGGAAAGACCATTAGATGTGCATATAAAATTTCCCCTGTGATTAATAGTTGATGAGGCAGGGTTGGTTGGAGGGTACTAACAACATGTGGCCTGCAGGGCTCCTCCTCTGCAATCTCACATTACACTCCATAAACTTGCCACTCTTTCCCACCTATACGTTTAAAAAGGAGGAGGGCTCACTTGTCAAGAATGCCTTAGAAGAGTTGTGAAAACAGCCAGCCCGAGAAGGGGAGTCATGCAGTTGCGGATGCAGCTCTCCCACCGAGCCACAAGCCAGTGAGATCAGTCAGGGAGAGAGGGTGTGTGAGAGCAAGACAGAGGGAAAGTGTGTGAGAGTGTGTCAGGACCAGAGGCTCCAAAGGACGTCACATACACTCCCAGAGAAAGAGGAAAACGCGCTGTCACGGGAAAGGCGTCTATCCTCACGCGCTTTTTGGTTGTGGAAGAGACTCTGACAGAAGTGAGTATTCCTGAGGTGGATGAAGTGAGAAGATGATGATAGTCAGCTGAAGTGGATGTTTCTCAAAACAGACAGATACAGATTTCCGGTCCTAACCTCCGTTCTGAGGGGATTTCCAACTCCTCCACAAGGAAAAAGACTTGCAATAATAATCAAGATTGTGTGAAGTGTTTTTGCATCACCATGGATCAGCCCGGCAGCAGCTGCATGCGGAGCGCCCACCCCAGCAGCCCCATTTGGGGTTGCATGAGGAACCCTCACTCAGGGGTCCCAGGTGCCAATCTGCAGTCGCCCTACCAGCAGGCCCCTTTCTCCCTCCACCAGAAGCCTGACTTCTTGGCCTACACAGACTTCTCCAGCTCCTGCCTGGTACCGACCGCACCGCACGCAGCCTACCCCCGCGATGACAGACTGTACCAAGACAGCCAGGGGGGTTACCAGAGAGCTGACTGGCAGTTCAACCACTGCGAGACGCGGGTGAGGGCCCCAGAGGCCTGCCCGGCCATCGTCGCACCTGTAGCAGTAGGTGGAGGTGGAGGACATGAGCTGGACAATGCAGGGGGAGACAGGCTTCCAGGGGCCTTGCCCGGATGCCTGGATGGAGAATACTCACCCCAGAGCGTGGCTTCAGCAGAGTCTGACAAGAAGAGTTCCAATAAGAGGAAGAGAGATGTCACAGGTGAGTCACCGAGATGGATGGATGGCAGCTGGGTTTTATAGGGAAAGATGAGCATCCAGAACCTAGTCACAGGAGGCGTAGAAAAGGAAGAAACACATTTGGGAGGATTTGAAATTATTCCACATTCTTTTTCCTTTCCACTGTGTATATGGTGGTGGAAATGTAAATAAATTATGAGGAGGAAACATGGAAATGTGCCAGGGAAGCCAACAAGTGATAGTAATCCCATGAGCCCAAACCTTATTTTGACAAACCTGTAAAAACAAAACGCCATGCCATTTGTTGTAGCAAATGTTCAGTATTTCAAGGTTAAGAATGTCTTTCCTGCCCTACATCACAGCTGGCAGTGACACAAATTCTCTGTATTTCCAAAGCCAATCAGCCTTAAAGCAGCACTCTCACCACATTGCAATGTAAAAGGTGAGTAGGTGACAGGACTTTTGTGTTCAAGACACACATTTTAAGTAGCAGTTGCATCCTCTTATTGTTCAAAGGCTCAAATGATTAACGAGACGTGAACGTTTCATTGCGCTACTGTATCCGTTGGAAATAAACCATTGTTTAGTAACAGTATGGCCTCTTTCAAAATTATGGTAAAAAGTGACATCAGGCTTCTGTGAAAACAAAGCAGTTTAAGACATTAGAGGTGCCTCACATTTTTTTTATGTATTATACTTTAAGTTATAATTAAATATTTCTCAAAAGTAAATTTATTAAATTAACGATCCTGCTGCTTTTTGTGAATCAAGAATAAATTAAAACTTTACCCCTTGATCTATCAAAGAAAAATAAATTGATCATTAAATAATGCTTTGAGAAATGTTCAGCTGCTCAAGCAAACACTAGTGAGCCAAAAATATATAAAATCATATTATACACTTATCTAGAAATTCCCTCTGCTAAAATTCCTTTTTGTTAGAAAATTATGATTATCCTTTTAAATGCTTAGAGCTGTGTTGTAAGCATTCAAACGGTATCATTGTATGCTTTTGGATTATAGTGCAATTTATTCCCCCGATCATATTTCACATTTGCTTATAGGAAGCCAAATAATCCGATATCCATGACGAACTAATTCCTAAAAGTTTCACACGTAACACTAACTATGAGCGCAACGGACTAAAGTAAATGTTTATACTCAGACTAAATCTAAAGGTGTAAAATGTTTAAATGTGTAGAATGACAGAATTAAATAAAACCACACATCTGAAACGTTCACATTTCATCTGTGAAAACTAAGAAAAGTCTCAGCCTGTTAACTTTTTTTCCATCACAAAGATGATTTATGCAGTGACACTGGTATTTGCACCTCTACACCTAATAAGAAAAAACTGTACATTAAATTCTGGACATTTGAGAAATGCGTGAAGCCTCTAGTAAAACTTTGAACTAGGCAGAATTATTTTTTCTGGAAATCATTTAAATAACATTTGTCTGTTTTTAGTAACCACTCATAATGTGAGTGGAGTTTTTCTCCATCAACAGTTCAGATTTTGTAATCAACTGCTTCATTGTGATTATCTTTTTTTGTCCAACATACCATATCTGATTATAAAGACCATGAATAATTATTTGGAAAAACGACATGACCAAAGTCTGCAGCAGCCTAATTGAAGGGGGTGGTGGGGGCGTACTGACCCCCTCCCTTTCTTACCTTATTGTAACCTCCACTCACTATACTGAAAACATGCCAGACCACGTCTGGTAAAATCACTTTCCCTGTGAGCCCACTTTTTACATTCTTATCCATTGACATTTTCCTGTCGTTAAGCCGTAACACGATCTCCCACTGAGTGCATGCAACATGTCTGACCACTGCATCAGATCTTGGTTTTTAGAAAAGAGCCATTCAGTAATGTATTACTAGCTGGTAGAAGAACATATATTAGGAAAATGCCCTGAAGGCTTTTGCATTACAGACAGAGCTGCTATAGAGTCTGCTTTTGATAGTGTGCATTTATGAATATATGTTTCCAAAACCGTAAACTTGTCTTGATATTGACTTAAATCCAAAATATGACTAATATAATACAGCTCAATACGTAACAGGAACAGTGAGATAAGCAGTCCACCATTAGGAAATAATTAAGCCAAAAAGAAGCTAAGATCATCTTCATTATTATTATACTAAATTGGCTAAAGATTTGATGACAAAAACATCTCAAAATATATATTTCTATTTTTACCCCTTCCAAACATTTAACAGAATATAAACCCTTAAATTGTAGATTTTATATACCATAACACTTGCACTATGCACACATGTATTCTAACTGCTAGAATCCACTTCAAGACACTGGTACTAGCGTACCATGCTGCGAATGGATCTGGCGCTTCCTACATCCAGGACATGGTTAAACTGTACACCCCAGCACGTGCACTCCGCTCTGCATCAGCCAAACAGCTCGCTGCACCCGCATTGCGAGGGGGAACCAAGTTCCCATCAGCAAAAACACGTGGGTTTGCTATCCTGGATCCAAAATGGTGGAATGAGCTCCCCATTGAAATCAGGACAGCAGAAAGCTTACACATCTTCCGGCGCAGACTAAAAACTCATCTCTTTCGACTCCACTTTGAGCATTACAATTACTAACAAAGCACTTATATACTAATAAAGCACTGGCTTATCTAAAGCCAGTTGAGTAGCACTTGAAATGTTTTGGCTCTATGAAACCTGATGTACTTATATGATTCTGTTTTCTTCTAGTTTCTATCTTCTTGGTCGAATGCATTTATTGTAAGTCGCTTTGGATAAAAGCGTCAGCTAAATGTAATGTAATGTATTCCACATTATGTACAAAATACTAACTATTATAAAGCATTTTAAAACTGTTTGTACAGAAGGGTTTTTTCAAAATTGTTAAATTTAGAACTCATTTAGAAAATATTTTTGATGTTGTCAAGAATACAACTCCCATCTATATACCTATAAACAAAAACATATTATTAACTAATTACTACCTATAAGGTTAAAATGGAGTGTACCAATACAACTTACTAACTCATTGTCAAACCCTGGCTCCAGTTTAACATACTCAGTCACGCCTGTAATTTCCACCTGTTTTTTTTAAACAATCCAGAAGTTAAACCAGCTTTAACTCAGTCCTAATGAAGACAAACTACTTTTGCACCATCCAAGCAAAAAGGCACCAAATGTTTGCCTGTGGGACCCTGCTGGGTGCAGAAGCCTTCTCCCTGCTAGTTTACGGTCTCTGGCTGTGCAGGATATTTATTGGGGGCCTGTTTAGTGGGAACCAGTATGTGCCCTGCCAGGTGTTCAGTCTAACGAAACCTGCTTGACACAGCTCCAGACCAGACCTGACGCGGCAAGGCAGAGTCGGCGCACTCAGGGCAGCGCGTCATTAATGACACTTAAACAACAATAAGACGTTTTTTTGGCATGACACACTGGTACGCCTGCACACACATCAGACGTTTGCGCACATGAGCACACATGTGCCCAGTCACATCTGGCCCAGGTACAGCGATCACTTTCACATTCTGGCCTGCTTCTCTGGCAACCATCAAGCAAAACTTCTCACTTTGACAAATTAGAAGCATTTTTGAGAGATTACATCAGCTGCTAGTGTTGCTACCAATGCACAATTATTACCCCAAACTCTTTTCCTTTAATACACAAGAGAGGTTTTTACTGAAAGTTAAATCAGCCAGCTTTCATTTATATTTATCCTGGTAAATGAGGTTTAAAATTTGACGATTTCCTAGGAAATATAAAGGCAAGGAAACCAATAGATCTTAGCAATAAACTCAGACTTTTGTCTTATGAGAGCCTGGATAATCACTGAAACTGATGTCAGCGTTTAGTTCAGACCACATTTACTGCTCGACCCGTACAACTGACCGCCAAATTCATAGAGATATCTCAGGCTTTGTCCTGATGTATATGCTGTCATTTTGAGATGAGTTAATGTGAATTCCCCCCCGAGTGCTCAGGAGGGAAATCGCAAGACACACACACACACACACACACACACACACACACACACACACACACACACACACACACACACACACACACACACACACACACACACACACACACACACGTAGCAGTCCGACCTGGACACATCCGCACCTTTGTTCTTTTGTTAGAGGCTTTAACGATGTTCCGCTGCATTCCTCTCCTAACACAGTCCCTCTGTGGCTTGTCTGGTGGGCCCTGCCCTGTGCCGATATGCTCTCACACCATGAATGAACTGCATGAATTCATACTTACATTTGTAAACAAAAGGCTAAATGCACAATTAGAGTAATGTAAATGCACACATGCTGAAAACATGATGCAGGTGGATGAACTTATGAGTTCAGGTCAGGGTGGTCTATTTTTAAAGTGCTGGTTTTGGTGTTTACTATATGAGGGGCCTCCCACTAAAGAGTCTTTGGAGTTAGGGTTTGTTGGTTGGAAAGGTCCTTAAGGTCTGTTTAATAGTCAATGAGAGGATGTTCACAAAAGGACTATAGGGCTCATTCAAATCAGATTAGCTAGGAAGAAATGAAAATAGATGGAAGTGTTCAAGTGGTAGGATCACCCTAAGACAATCAGGGTCCCTCACCCCTTTATATAGAAGTTAGGCTGAAAATCTGCAATACCTATTTTAAAAACTTTAAAAAATATGCATCTCAAATGATGCTAAGAATACTTTATACGTCAGTATACATGAGCAGACCAACAGACAAGCATCTCTAACTGTAAAAAACTAAATTATGTCCCCCCCCCCAGATATCCAGGATTCAAGTTTTAAGGTGGATTCCAGCTGCAAGGCCCGGAAAGAGCGCACAGCGTTCACTAAGGAGCAGCTGAGGGAGCTGGAAGCTGAGTTCACCCACCACAACTACCTGACCAGGCTGCGCCGCTATGAGATCGCAGTCAACCTGGACCTTACAGAGAGACAGGTACACAGCCTTTCCCTCACTCACACCATATAAATATCATTATATATTTGGAGAATCAATACCTTTGAGTGGTTTGGATTTTGTTAATATGGTAAAAGTTTTTTTTTTTTTTAAAACAAATGGACAATGTAATGGACTGATTTTAATCTTTGTGTTTAATAAATAAAGAATTAAGAATTCTTCAACGACCAAAACATTTGAAATCTAACAGAATTGTTTAAGTTACAAATACTGAAAGCTATGGAGCCCCTAAAGGGACATGAAAGAAAAAAAAAAAAAGTCGAGATAACTGGCTAGTTTCTCGTGGAAAGTATCTCTGTAGCCCACTTCGGTACTGGCCCATCGGGACGAGCCGGTCCGCCACTGGCCCTGTTTGTGTGTGTTTTGAGTGTTTGTTTCCCTTTAAAAACAGCTGCGGGCAGCAGGTAGCCTACTCTGAGAGTCAAGGACATTAATTCATAGATCAAAGCAGACTGGTTTACAGACTCTCCTGTTTTGCCAATCCGGTGCTTAAACAAATAGCTCTACACCCAGGGCCGAAATGCCCATAAAATTAAGTCTGAGTTCGAAATATATCTCAAATAATGTATGCACTGTCATTTCCCCACGTAAACATAACAGTCTACAATGAAATGGTTGTCTCCTGTGTGCTCCACTTCTACTTGGCGCACCGGTAACTTTCTCCAAAAAAATACTAACCCGTTATCCCAACTTTTTTGTTCATGTCCCTTTAGGGGCTCCGTAGAAAACCATAGAAAGAAAGAAGTTTCTAAAAAGTTAATATTTTTGTTAGTTATTTTACCAGTTACTTTTTTACTATTACTGCTGTCATACTTTAGTTCTTTATTTCTAGTTGCAAAACTCAGTAAAAGGTTTTCACCAAAAACAAACATATATAGTAATAATCCAGATGCATGCACATAGATGCATTAAAATTAAATGGAGCCTTTTTTTTCCACAATACTTTTCATCATGTGGTCGTGGCAGAATGACATGCACTGTAATGAGTGGGCGGCAGTTGCAGACTGGATGAAATCGGGCAAACATGTGTCGATGTTGCTGGATCAAACCCCAGTCTGCCTGTCAGGCCTCAGTGTCCCAGCTCCTCCTAATGAGGCCACGGTGCCACAGTGACCACACATACTGCCGTCTGCTCCCTAAATCTATTTCCCAGACCTCTGAAACACACACACACGGACACACACACTCACACAGCCCGGTTCCATCTTCACTCGGAGCTCCCACTGCAACTCGTCGGCTTTTCCAGCTCCTACAGGCTTTGGCGTTTCACTGTCCTTTCAATCAGCCCGGATGAGCAGAAACACTGAGACAAAGAGGCTCAATTATGTGGGAACAGATTCATTTGAATTATTAGTATCCTATACACATATGACATGATCTTAGTTTATTGCCGCAGTCCTGTACAACACATAAAGTTTAGAGTTTAGAGTCATTGGATTTTAACATTTTTATCAGGTTTTAAATATGTTGTATTAGCTTATATGTATATATTCTATATAGTATTTTCTGATGAGAAACCCATCAGGATTGTTGAAGACCCACATCAAACCTGTTTAACTTAAGCATAATAGCTTATATTCTTCTGTGACAAGCTACATTAATGTCAACACACTTAAATGTACCCAGTTTTTTCAGAAAAGAGGGGAAATAGGTGAATTGTACATGATAAAAAAAAAGAATAATAATACATGATACTTGTATAGCGCTTTTCTAGACACTGAAAGACGCTTTGACAGAGAATAAAAAAACAAAGAAAAAAACAAAGAAAAAAGCTTTGAATAGAATAACATTAGCTTATGTAAAAAAAAAAAGCATTCAACATCGGCTTAAGTATGCCACTAGCTCCGACTTTTATGTTGACATTGTATCCGTATCATATACATGTATCATATTAATATAAAATAGCTTTCCTGGGAGTTATAAACTTCAGTTGAGGCCTTTATAAAAGGACAATGAATGTTCCCAATCAGGGAGTTAGCAAGTGTTTTTCTGTCGTATTTCTCCTGTAATTTCAGGAAGTGTGTCTTTTTGCTGCTATTCTTGGCCGGACAGTTGAAGCATGATATCATTGCCATTTCAGAGGAGTGCAGTGACACAGATGAGCACTATCCACACCGTAAACTCACATCCTGTGTAGGCTGACATCCTGATAGTTGACTCTTCTGACCCCGCTGTCTATACGATACTCTCTGCCTGCATTTGCAGAGATTTTTGAGCCAGAACAGAAAGCTTTGCACTGACAATTCATACTCCTTGCAAGGCCAACGCCAAACTGAGCCAATTTCTATTCTGCTCTGGGAGATTTGTGGGGGATTATTTGTCTATTTTTCTGCTGACCTTGCTGTACATTTTGCTAAAAATTGCAAAACTGAGAGCTAAGCCGCAGGGATTCTGTTACTAGTTCAAAAATCTTTGGATAGAAAAAAACGTTTTTCACTGTGTCTGTGTAAATGTGATCTAGTATTAGACAGTCATTGTTTTATCTCCGTATACTGGGTACTTAATGTGTAGTATATGTGTGCCATATTTTTTATTTATTGCATTATTTAACAATTATCTCTCATTGTTTTGGTCTATAATGACAGACACTAAACTCTAAGTCACACTATATTTTAGTCTGTGTGTATATATGCAATATATTGTGGACATAGCTGCTACCAATCACAACCCACTGCTCACACTTTTTCCGTGTAATTTACTTTCATTTCCGTCTATAGTTTGTATTTTACTTCTATTCTTGACATAGTTTTGTAAATACCTCTAAAGATTTATTTTTGCTAGTCTTTTGTATTTATGTATGTCTTTGTGCTGCTGCAACAATCATATAAAGCCTATTCTTATATCGTAGAATGTCAGAAAATAGTAAGGATCAATATACTTTTATAGAAAATCAGTCAATATTCATATTTGAGAGATCCTAAACAGGAAAATGTTGGCATTTGTGATTAAAAAATTTTTTACGATGAATAAATTATTAAAATAGTTTTAAATTAATTTTATGTTGATCCACTGATAAATAATGCCTCGAAAACCGGAACAAGACACATTTAACTCAATAACTTTGTCCATGTATGCAACGTTAAACCTCGTTACACAATCAAATGTCAAAATCAAGAACCAACTTTTTAATTCAGTGCACATTCTAATAAAGCATTTTCTTTGTTTTTGTACAACAGGTGAAAGTGTGGTTTCAGAACAGGAGGATGAAGTGGAAGAGAGTGAAGGGGGGACAGTCGTCCTCGCCCAATGACCTGGAGAATGACGACATAGACTCGGCGGCCTCACCAAGCTCTGAATGAACAAAGCCTACGACATTAGGAAAAAAAAGAGATGTCACAGAGAGACTTGGGGTCAACTGGACACTAATACAGCGCAATGAAAGCGTAACTCGATTCTGTGGAAAGCTGCACGATTCAAACAAGACTCTTAATAATTCCCAGGAAGAAATCACAGAGCATCTACTTTGCTGTTGTAAATAGTTGAATATGTCCATAATGAACTGCATTTTGATACATTATTGATAAATTCTCTGTTCAAGAGGCCACCTTTTGATACATTAAATATTAAAGATGATACTTATGGTCATTGTAGATCAGTGACAAAGTCCAGACAGAAGCTTTAAAGCCAGTGATGACATATCAGACCGTGATGTGATTGAGTTTGAGAGCATCCCCTGTGCTTCCAATAGTGTAATCATGGCCTTTGACGCTTGACTACAACCACCTGGGAAAACTCAGACTGCACAATTGTTGCCAAGCCATAAGTGCCTCAGAATCTGATTTTTTTTAAACATTTTGTCAGTTTCCTTTTTTCCTAGAGTTTAGGTTTTTCTAAAATCTGTCAAGCTTCCTTTTTTTAACTATTCTTTTTTATACATGTTGAATGTTATTGATAAAACACAGATGTTGCCTGTTTCTGCAAATAGAATAAATCATCTGTTTCAAAATGAGAAAATATCTTGATAATTTCTTCCATCCGCAACAATTGAGTTATGATCGGACAGTAGGTACATCTATATTCTCAGCTAATGGTTGTATCATGTGTGGATCTTTGGGTCAGATATTACAATTGCTAAGAAAATAATAGCTGAGGAGAAGTTTGCTCACATTAGCTTTTGATGTTGGCAGCTGGCATAAAAGGAAATACATTGTCTGTGTGTGTTTTTTGCCTGTGCCGTGTGTATGAGAAATTGCCTGTCCTTTTCAGCATGCAGTATTTTCACATGGTTCCAGCAGCCGCCCACATCTTAGATTTTTATTGGAGTGATTCAATCTAGTCTACTGTTGTTCTCACTAGCTGTTTCCTGTTTGGAAATAACTGCCAACCAATTAGAGCTTCATACACGCAATTGAAAATGATGACAAAATCTTTCTTTGCCAGAAAAATTTTCAACATCTTTCTGCCATTAAGGCAATAAGAAAGGATTAGACAACATATAGGTTGTTTTACATCCATGTACAGAAACAACAACTCAACACCTTTATATGGTAACAAAGAATGCCTGTTATATAAAACAGTTCACTCATCGTGAGAAACAAACAGATTAAATACTAGAATGAAGATCTCCATAGTTGCAGAAAGCGTTTTAGCATCTTTCAGCTCCTTGTTTTTAGCAAAAGCAGACAGCTATTTTGAAAATTGAAACACAGCTAAAAGTGCGTGTGTGGGTAAAATATGGGTGAATATTTGACTGACATTCCAATTACTGAATAAACTGTGTACCAAAGTGTTTGCAATATCGACTTTATACACAGGTTGTTATGATTCCAGCTTGTTCCACTGCGCTAAGTGGCCCAAAAGTCGCACTTTATGCTAATTTCAATAACTTCTATTGCTATAGCTTCTGTGTTAACCTCACTTACGACGTTGCATGTTGCTGCTTTGCAAGTCTAAATAGCATGCATCTCCAAACAAATATCCCCCATTAACATGAACCTGATTTCAGACTGAATAAAGGGGGAAACAAATCGGCACCTCTGTTTGGTTAGAATAAAATATACTTACATTTTTCCTTTTCCCGTCAAAAGGCAGATATTTATCTCTGGCTTGCATAGTCTACAATTTAAAAATGAGAAATTTGATACACATGTCACAAAATATTCATTTCAAACCACAATGCCCAATATAAGCTACTTTAAAAGGAGCACCAGGTACACTATGATGAATATCACATTTAAATAAATGTGTATATATAATATAATAAAATAAGCTAAATTGATGTGTATTGAGAGAGCAAGCTGGCTTCAAAAGCTGGCTGTCTCTACTCCAAAAGGCCAAAACCATGTATATGTGTGCACCTTAGGGGCATTGGTTACATGGTTCCAGGTCACACACTTTAGTCAAATCTTCCTGTCTGGGGGTCACAGCGACAAAATCTTATCAGTAGGGATTAAGCAGCTCTAATGTGTAATATGGGTGCTTATTGAGAACACCTTGCAACAGAGCCAGCTTTACACAAAATCCCTTCCGATGATGCCATGGTTATCTTCATTAATATCTCACATGGAGGCCGGGTATCCCTGAGGTCAGATCAGAATCAGCTCTCATCAACGCCCCAACTAGATCCTGTCTGTAGCCCCATAATCCCTAAGAATGTTTTCATAGTGGCAAGTGGTCTCCTGCAGACCACCGCAGATCACTGATGATTGGTCTGAGGTGACTTGACAAGCACTGACAGAACTATAAGTAGATTTGAGTGTGTTTGAATAGGAACATTCATTTTTGCACACGGTCACTGTCATTCTAGTGAACTCACAAAGGGCCATTAACCTGACAAGGTGGAGTCAAGCTCCAAAAGCTAAAGTATTTGGCCCCTGCACACTATTTTCAACGGAAGCATCTGGATGGGGCCAATTTGATCTCAACCTGAGTGGAACCTAGACAAACCCACGCACGGGGCCCCCAGGACCAGAAGAAGAAGAAGAAAAAGGAAAAAGAAGCTTGCTGGCTGACCACTTGCGTATGATGGAAAAGGGAAATAATAGGTGGGTATGGGTGAAAAGACGGCTTCTCAAGTACAGGATGTTGTTGTAGCAGGTAGCCAGTCATCCAATTTCCTGCTTCCCAAAGAAAACAAGAGCTTGAGCATAGGAGTCCCCAGACTTACAATGGTGGGCCTATGCTCAGACTCCGGCCAACCAAACAAAGCCTTCAGAGGTTACTGCCCTTTCTGCTGGTCTGCAGGGACCGGGGTTGGCGGGAGGATGGGCTGGTTGTTCCACGCACACACAGAGTCGGGGTCAAGTGTTACTGTACGTCTGACCTCACCGGGCCCCTGCTGCAGCTGCTGGAGGTGGAATAACTCCAAGTCGGTCCTGTGCCCGTTTCCCCCCTCACTCAGCCTGTATTAAGGTCTATTATTGTATTAGTGGTAATAGCAGTCCAAATAAACCATGTCCAACTGTAATGATAGTATTAATATCAGCAGTGTAAACTAATGAAACTGGAATGTTGTTCTTCCACCATAGAGGTTCCTTTTAAATGCACACGGGTGGCCAAATTAATGGATTAGATTTAATTGATGGTATTGTGATTGTGGGATGACACCCAAGAGAATATAGGTTTCCCTTTCACTTCTCTTACCCCACCAATAGCTGTGAACACCTTGTTCTATTTTTATTTATTTAGGCCGAGTGTTCATAAAGTATTTTTTCTGACCACCATTTTCTTTTGTCAGTTGTTCCCAATTATGCCGCCTACTATAGCAGCAACCGTGCTGCTTTCCGTCTTTTTGTGTGGCATCGAGGGCTTCCGATTTGTTTTTCAAGAAAAACGAAGTCTTTATGGACACTCAGGATACATCGATTTAGAAATAGAAGTACAATTTGAGGTTGAACACATTTCTGTGGCAGTCACCAAAAATAAGTATGGATGTAATCCCAGTAATATCTCCCGAGCTGTGATTATAAAAGCAGATTCAGCTGCAGGAAACATTCTTGAAATAACTCCTTCTTTGAATACAAACTTCTCTGTGGGCAAAGAGCAATAAGAAAACTTTTGTCAGAGTTGAAAAAGAGACTTAACCCTCACCACTCAACATATTTTATTTTTTTTTTATAACAAGGTACACAAATTATTGGAGAATTTAACCAAATGCTCAATATAAGCAAGCAGCACATCATGTCACCAGCACAACGCTAAAAATGCCGCATTTGTGGATTCAACACGAGCAGCTGTGCTTCACCGTTTCCATTTTTAGAACATTTCCAGTTGTGAATCATTCATGGAACAGTATTAATGTTGAATATGGTATGCCTTACAGTTGACATAAAATCCTTCAAAAACCATTGTGGGTGACATCAGATTTTATATATAGTGTTTGTTACTATAATGTATTTAAAAATATGTAATCCCATATCACTATATGCCTAATTAGCCCAAAAAGGTAAGAAAAGAAAATGTAGCAGTGCCTATTTTTCAAAAGTAATGGATTTGATAGGACTGTGAAAGTTCGATTTAAAATAGGACTGAATAATAAGCAGACATCCAAAATACTCCTGTTAAAACCCATTTGAGTACTTTCAGTTATACTTATTTTTTTTTAATTTAAAATAGTGTTTTTGGCTAATTTAAATTGCTATTATAATATAAGATTACTCTTCAATTTGAGTAGTACATAATCCTTAGTTTGTGCATCTTTTTCTTTAAATAGAGAAGTGCTTTATGTAGACATAAGATGAGACCTTTTTTATTTTGAACTTTAAGTTGCCTTAAAGTTGTGTTTACAGACTGCAAGTATCACCAGCTTTACTTGATTATTTGTACTTCTGAAGTACATCTTGTACACCTTCACCTGCTCTCCCACCATACCATTTATTTTGAAAACCCCATGCTCTGCTTAAGCTCCGACTGCCCTTGGCGGAAAAGAAAATATATTGATGGATCGCCGGAGGTGTGAAGGTCAGCTCTACAAGAGGCAACCGTAGAAATTAAAGCATGTCCCTCTCCTACTGGGCCCTTGTGCTCTGCTCCGTGAGCTCCATCTGCACACTGTTATTGTGTTCGGAGACGGCAGCTTGGCGGTCACTTCAAAGACTCTGACAGGCTGATATGGAAGGCCACTGCTGTGAAAACGGGAGATAGTGAAAGTTAAGATAACATAATTATAGGATAATATTGTTGGGGGGGGGGGTGTCTAAAGGAGCAATGGGAGTATACTCGCTTGGGAGTTAGTGTGTGATTATGAATTCTACTATGCTTAGGTGTATTTTTTAAGTAATCCAACACAACCTTGGGAATTCTCAACAGGGAAATCTTTAGACTCTACCTCTGGTTAATTCTCACCTTCTGTCCTGAGCATGTCCTTCTCACCTCCCGTCGGCTGCAAAAGACAAACGTGCGCTGGGTTTTGTCAAGTTAAAAAGACCCAGGAGCAACTTAATGTAACAAGTCTTTTCCCCTTTCTTCCTCTGCTCTGCTCTCCTCTCTGTCCTGCATCCAGTTACTGGGAGCAGTGGACACATCCTCTCTTTCTTTTCATTCCTTTTGTTATTTTAGGCCACCTGTAAATCCATTTCTCAGTTTCAGCCGCTCTTTTTTGTGGCATCTGTTCTCAGCCCCGCACACATGCAAGGCAGAAACAGCAAAGAAAGGCAGGAGGAAATATGCGATGTCTTCCGCACATCCTCCCTAGGCGGCCGTTGTGTTGAAAGAGGCACACAAGGAACGCGTGTTTGCATGTGTGCCATGTCAGAGTGAGCATGTTTGCATGTGTGTGAGCTTGCATATCAGTATGTGTACCTGTGGGTGAGTAAACAAGCTCAACTGTAATCAGTAAGAGTTAGTCAGCGCTGGACCCTCATGCATCCCGCCTCTGCTCATCCTCCCCCAAACCTCTCGTCTCCGGTGATTAGCGACTCCTGCAGGAGTTATAAATCTTCAATTTCCATTGCACAATCAGTCAAGACGGGCCAAAGTTGAGGAGCTGCAAAACATTAAATTATCTTGGACTTCCTGCAAAAGGCTCCTTTGGATGTTGCAAAGTTTGGATGTTAAGCAAAGTGGATACCAGAACCTGAAGCCATGGGACACTGGTCTATGGCTCCCTCTGGTTGGTACTTGTGACCTGCTGTGTCCTGCTTGGTGTGGAGCCAGGAAATCCAGCAGCAGTTTGACTCTGCAAATCATCACACAGAGGACCACTCAATCACTCTGTTGGCTGAGCAAAATGAACATAGAGAGCCTTGTTCACGAGAAAACACACGGCAAGTACACGCAGCGTGAAAGCTGGAGTGAGGCTTCACTGTCTGGTTCAAAGACATCAACAAAACCAGAGAAATACAATCATACATTGCAGTGTGTCCACATTAGTGTTTCTGACACTCCAGGGTACATTTCGGCTTTTAGGAAGAAGTCGTCATTCCCTGAGCACAAACAGGTGATTTATCAGTGACAGTAATTTCCAAAAAAAAGGTTCCAATTAAATGAGCATTTTTATATGACTTACACATTTAATTCAAATGACAGCCTGGGCCGGATGTGGACAGGACTTTGTCCGAGTAGCCGCTGCCAAAACGGGAATGGCTGGAGCCACCCACAATGGCCCTACAGAAATCTATAGTTAATGTCTCAGAGAGTACATCCATATTTTATAAAGTCTATGAGGCTTTGTGTCCATCCATCTGAAATGTTCCCGAAAGACGATAGCATGTGATGCTTCTTCATTAAGGCTTCACATTTTCCAGGTCACAGTAGTTGCCCA